GTGTGGAAAGCACTGGTTTGGGACCATCTACACTCTGTCTCTGTCCTGTTGCTGCCTTTTCTTTGTGATTCTGATCTGACTGCAGCTAAACACCTGCACAAAGAGCTGTCAGAATATTAGAGTTAAACAAAACTCAAACTAACTGAAACTTGACGTAAAAACATTTTAAACGATTGAAACAATTTTGTGAACTTGGAAAACTAAATTCTATTAAATATAAAAGAAGTTTTAGAAATGTTATCAGCACTTCACCGTCAGCCTGCTGAGGCTTTGACATGTTTGTTTACACTCTGGATGTTAACAAGACTGTAAGTTCCTGTGAGGATTTTCATAACTGCCACTTATGTTTGCTCTCCATGCAATAATATTTAAAAAGAATAAAACGAAACATTTCCAACAATAAAAACTAATCAGTAAATATTAAACTGCAGTGGTGCAGTATTTGTTTCACGTGTTAGGATTTGATTTGCGCTGAGAGTATATTTTAATCCAACCAGGATTTTCAGATAAAAACTGAAGGAGAATTGACCCTGTGCACAAGAAAACTTCCTGGTTTGAGACCGGATGTGGGGTTGTACATTTCCGGTAGCTTTACTTTGCGGTCAATTGCTACTGCGAAGATATCCTCCAAAATCATGTCCAAAATTCAAAAACGGAAAGATGGCGTTAAGTTACAAAGAGAAGGTGGGAACACTCACCACTGTTGTGTCATAAAAAATCTAATGATCAATTTTGATGTTTAAAGAGTTTAGATCGATCAGTTGTTTACATCACTCAACACAAGCAGAACTGCAGCAGAAGACACATCGTCCACATTCACAAGCACATCTCTGTATAGTGACAGTTATTATGATTTAAACAGGCAAATGTTCAGCATTCAAACTACAGGTGAAGAAGTCAAACCAGATGTTTCCATTATGTTGAGATCAGCTAGTCAAGTACACACCTACACAGCATGTTAACAAACAGTGAAAAAAGACACACAAAAAATGAATGATTGCTGGTAAGGGTTTCTATACATTTGTATTTACGAAGGGTATGTTGTGACTTACCTTCAAAATTACAGCGGTCCCTCGCTATAACGCGGTTCACCTTTCACCTCGCTGTTTCGCATATTTTTTAGTGCAAGTTTGCATCCTTATTTTTTTACATCACATTGCGTCCTGCGTCCTGATCGCTGCAGACGATCTCCTCCGTGACGTCTCTCCTGTACAGAATCACTGCATCGATGCTAGCAGTGTGACTCTGAAGTGCAGT